TAAATGGTCCAAATAGTCCAATCTCTTCTTAAAATGTTCCAGTGAGATGAATTGTTCTCACTGTCAGGAAATTTCTTCTTATTTCCAGGTTATTTCTCTTCTTAATTAGTTTCCATCCATTGCAACTTGTCCTGCCTTCTGCTACTTTGGAGTATAGGTTGACCTACTCTTCTTTGTGGCATATAATATAATCATATTACGTTTTTAATCTGGGCAATTTTGCTATAGCTGCTGATTCAACAGAATCATCTTTCTCTGCATAATCTACATTTCTAGTTGTTTCCTTTTTTAGTTTTTGTTTTTCTAGCATTTGTTGTTAGGGCTTGTTCTTGTGCTACCTTCTTGATGGATTCTTTCAGAAACCATTGCCAACTTTTGTTACTATTCACCTTGCCTTCAATTTCTTTCAGGTGTTGAGCATGCAGAAGTATATATTGTGATCTAAATCCGCAGTGTCCAGTGAATGAAAATACCTTGTACAGTATTACAGAAACAGCCCAGATATTAATGGCTTTGATTGTATTACACTGTGCAGCTTTAGTTTTAGAACTTTTCTACCATACATTATTTTACATTTTTGGTGCTGATTTTATTTTTCATTTGGACATTCAAAGTATCATTTTCTTCTCTAAAGTGCTAGAATATAATTTGCCCCTTATTGCCTATAAAACTTAGTTATTGCCCCCCTTTGCTCTTTTTGGCAGTAGCAATGGCAAGATCTACCTGGGTTGTTAATTTCCTAGAAGCCTGCAATACTATGCCCATGTATTTAAAACAAATGATCTGCTTTAATTCATAGGAATCAATTGTTCACCTGTGTCTTTGTCTTTTGCTAGAAAAAAAATAAAACTTTAGATTTATCAATATTGATTAATTGTTCCTCATATTAATAGGGGTAGAGTTCTTAGTGCCCACTTCATGCCCACAGAGGACAAAGGGAGAAGAACTGCATCATCAGCATTGAGTAGAATTGGGTGATGTCTATTGGCTAATTTAGGGCATGGATACAAACTCTCAAGAGTTTAAATTGGAGAGTTGATATATGTTAAAAAGCAATGGTGATAAAGTATATCTTGACAGTTTAAATAAAGTCATAAAGAGCCTGCCTCCCAATTTTACTCTAGGGCTGTTTTTATCATGTAGTTTATGAATTAGGAAAAAGAATCTTTTGTCTATGGAGGATCTTGTCTGAATGTCTCAGTCTTACCCTTGAGATATTGTCAAAAGCTGCCTTGAAATCAATAAAGGCTGCATATAGATTCAAGTCAGAGAGATTTGTATGTCGTCTGCGAGATGTTGAAGCACTAGGCAATGGTCCCTGCTTGCTTAGGTTTGAGGGTAATGACAACATGTTTTGAAGTGCGTATAGTATGGGGGAGGCTGCACTAGGCAAGATGACAGATGAAACATAACATGCAAGACCCACCTCTTTTAGATATGCATGCAACACTGATGTACATATAAAGGAGGCAGAGCTGGCATCATGATGTCACATGCACCATCTTGCTTGTTTTGACCTGTCAATGTTAGGGATAACATTGTTTTACCCTAACTGTTTTGGGTAAAGATAATAAAATGATGAATCATGGTTTGTCAGATAAAGTGTATGTGACTTTAAGCTAAAGGAATGTAATTAAGGGTGCAGCTGTAAAAGTACTATATAAGCAGCAAGGCACTCTCTGGCTCTTACTGGCTGGCTTATTGAAGAGTGCGTTCTTGCTGGATCGGGGAGGAGAAGAAGTGTTGGATTACTTTGAAGATATTTCTCAATGGAGAGAAGATAAGTTTTGGACAGATTTATTATATGTGTACTGACACTGGCTATTCGACACGGACTTTGCAATTAGAGTATCCTCGACAAGACTTGACTGAATTTGGTATATGACTAATGGACTGTTTATAATGACTATGCTATAATTCTTAAATGGAATAAATTATAATTTTGATAGCACAAGCGTATCTGTATTTTTACTGCGTGTTAACGAGAAGGCTTATCTCACACATTTACCTGTCTTCCTATCTGACTTCGCTGCACGTTCTGTTTAGTTTGTTTTCCTTAACACCCGTTGGGGAATCCAGGCTTAACAGTCCCCACAAATATCACTAAGGTAAAAGGATTACAAACTAAAATGAAGCTTCAAGGCTTTGCTATGTTCACCATCACCCTGAAATATTGATTCCAGTTGCTCTAGTCATACTTTGGAAATCATCTAGAGATTCCAAAATGGGTGCTAAGAGACTAACAGTGGTTTACATCCTGTGGTTGTTCGCAGTTTAGGCTCACCCCTGGCCTAACCCCTTCCTTAGTTATACAGATATAAATTTCTTGTTTTAACTACTGTGTTTCTCACATAATAAGGCTGGGCCTTATTTTTTTTTGACCCCCGAAAAAACGGCTAGGCTCGGGAGATTAGCCTCCCCATGTGGGGTTGGGCTGCCCTCTCAGGCAGGGGAGGCTTTGTAAAATAATTCGCTTTACCTTCGAAAGCAAAGGGAAGACGGGAACGCCTGAAGCCAAGTGTCTCCTCAGGGCTCCGGTTGCAGGGAGGAGCCCTGACTGGCCGCACGTGGCTGCGCCAAATGCCTAACGCCGTGGCAGCAAGGGAGAAGGGAAAGCAATGGTGGAAGGTCTCCCGATATGAAGTGACCCACCAACGCAGGCAGCACCATATCGGGGCATGCAACAAAAGTACTTCCTAAGGGCACCCCCCGCCATTTCCCCCCCACCCCCATTTCGCATGTTTAATATGGGCCTTAATTTGGGGGGAGGGGCTTAATTTGATTTTATGCCAATAAAACATGGTGGGGCTTCCTATTGGTGGAGGCTGTATTGTTGGAGAAACACGGTATATATGTTGTCTAAAAGGATTTAGGGAGGGTGAGATGGCCAACTGTCATCTCATATAATTCAGAACTCTGAAACATAATAGATTTTCCATATTTAATAAACATTTTAATACATGTAACTTGAATACAAACTTTTGTTGGGCCAAAGATAATTAAGGGTCTTCAGTTTTACACTGCATTATGAAAATATTCCTGTCCAATGTTATATTCTAAGAGTATTTGTTTTGACAATATGGATTGTTGGCAGCTTTATTCTCTACAACCAGAGTGAAATTCTGGGCTTTAATCTACATGTAGATTGAAATACTATTTTTTGGGGTTGAACATTTTAGACATATGCAACAATGCACTGGCAGTTTCCCCATTCCATATAATTACTTCTCCAGACTATCCTCTTGAATTGGATGTCATCATTGTCTGAATTAAAAACTCATTTTTGAAATATATAGAATGAAGAAGCATAAATTTTGTGAGATATATGGTCAGAACATCGCATGTGTATAAACAGAACAGCTTAGAGGGATCTTTTGTGTTGATTTATTTCTTCCATATCCACCACCATTACCCCACCCCATAACACACAGAATTTCAGGAACCAATATATGTCCATTGGAGGGAGGGTGGGAGAGAGAGGGGAAAGGGGATGAAAAGAGAGGGAGGGAGGGAGGGAGGGAGAGAGAGAGATGGTGACCATTAATATAGCAAAAGGCCATATGAAACTAATCTAAATACAATAGAATATTTTTTGTGCAATTACAATTTATGGGAATGGCTTTCAAAAGGCAAGAGAAGATTTATTTCAGTTAAAAAAGGATTTTGACAGGGGTAAGTGAGGCCTTAATTCTTTATTCTCAGTTAGTGACTATAGTTTAGTATCATGCAAACACAAAGATTTGAAGACTTTTTACTTCTTATCTCTCTGTCAGAATCCCAGTCCAGATTGGTTTTATGTTATCTGACATCTACTGTTAAAAGCCATTCACACACTCAGATATTTAAAACATTGACACAGAATTGTTGGGAGTCAGGTGACATATACATTTTATCACCATTATTGTTATTATCATTGATAATGGGGTAAATTAATTCAAATCTATTTTTATTGCAGCAAAAATAATTGCATCTGATGAAGTACAGTAGACTTTTGTTTTCAAACATATTGATCTTAAAAGTGTCCTAGTTTTGTTATAGATTTCAGCATACATAAATCTCCCCATGAATTCAGTAAGGACTATGATCATGTAGCATGTTGGGTCCTTCTATATCTTGATGGCAAGTAAAAACCACTAAGTGACTAAATTTGGGGGAAATCCAACTAACAGTTCTCTTATTCCTCAAATGCACCAATGCTAAGAGATTTAAGTATCCCATTTTATTACCTCACCTCTGCTCTGAACCAGCTAATTTGCCTTTAAAAATCCATTCTTCCTTCACCATCGTTTCTTCATCGCATCCATGGAGGGTAATCACACTGATCTATTTAGCTTAGTTTTACTTTATTTTGTCCCACTTTACCTCAGAGCTTAAGTACATGGGGATTAACTTCATTTTTTACCTCAGTAACAACTTTGTGAGATACCTTGGATGGCAAAATAGCTATGGCCTGGATTCACCCATCCAGATATATAGTTGAGCATAGACCCAAACTCATGCACTAAGTACTGGGCCATGGTTTTATTGCAGGGGATGTAGTGGGATAACTTTGAAAGTACCATATATCTGTAGTCTTATCATTACTGGTCATTGCATCTTTTTATTTGGAGAGTAGTATGCTACTGAATAATCACCTGCCAGGGAACAATAATTGAAGAGATATCAGCTTTGAATTCAACATCTAATTAACCTGAGGTTGGCTACTGGTTGACCACTGAGGTCAATAGAATGTTAACTTTCAAGACGTGCGGACTTCAACTCCCAGAATTCCTTAGCCAACAAGGCTGGCTGGGAAATTCTGGGAGTTGAAATCTATCCATTTTAGAATTGTCAGAGTTGAGAAACATTGCTCTGATTTATCAAAAACTCCTAGCCATATGTCTGAGGATATGGACATTATTTTCTCACTGTTTGAACTGGAAAATATTGTGCCCAGATTGAGGAAAATGTATAAATTAGAATTATCAAAAGAAAACAATTACTCTTACAGGTAGCCCTTAATAACTATTTATTCAAAATAAGCATTAGAAATTCATTCAGAAATATCACAGTTGCCAAACATAGCACATAATATGGCAATAGCTATCTTAATTAAGAATATTGTATTGACTTTTTATTTACAATAACAATAATTCAATGGTGCATGTGTCTGTTCAGAAGCAAACCCCACAAAGTATATTGGAACTTACTTTCAGTATATAATATAGGATTATAACCTAAATTAAGTGTAATAGGTTTGTAAGCATTGGCACATAATATTCCTTTCTTCAGAGCCCTGGTGTGATCTTCAGAGCCCCTAAAAAAAGTTGCTGCTGAATTTAAAATGTTAGAGAATGGAAAAGATATTAAATGCATGAGGACTAATTATAATTAATTAACTAAATAAACTAAAACTTACATTATTTTTTTCAAAGTAGGCCAGGCTCTTCTGTTTTGCATTCCTAGCTTTCCACTCAAGGGCTAAATATAGCTTTCAGTCCCCAAAAGTTTATGCAGCCCTGGTTCACAAAACAATTTAACTAGAAAACATGTTTGGGAAATGAGTATTTCTCTGGCAAAAGCAGAGCATCTTTCTTCTTTGTCAACTGGTCCAAAGCCCAAATTTTTGTCACAGGTAAAAATAAAAATGGACCTATCTCTCTGACACATATGGAGCTTGAGGTGTCCTTGCTAAATAAAAGGATTGAGATACACAGACTATTCATTACCCTGATTAATCTTCTCAGGAAATATTATATTCACAGAAACATTTTCATCATCATTTGCTTTTAGAAAGCAATCCCTCTCCTTGTGCAGTAAATGGCTGTATCTGGCATTGGATAGCCATACTTCGAATTTAGAAAAAAATATAATCCCAGTTGTACCCAAAACAACAAGACATGTAAGAAAGCTTAGGACCATGAAGCAGATCACCTGACTCTTAGTGAGCAAGGACTGCCTGTTTTCAATTGTCTCTTTTATGGTCAGTATTTCCTTCTCTTGCAGCTGAGCTGATTTAAGGTGCCCTCTCAAATGCAGGTGGCGATTCTGATTCTGTCTTTGTTTAATCACCGCATTCACGCTTGTGTTTCTAGTGGAAAAACTACAGGTGGGCCCAGCAAAGTATGGTTTGCAAATACACATGAAGCCTCTGCCACGGTGTCCATGACATGTCCCACCATTTTCACAAGGGCTACTATCGCAAGCTGGGATGCGGTTACGGCACAGCACACCTCCATAGCCAATCGGACAAGAGCAGTGGAAGCTCTTGCCAATATCTGTGCACGTGCCTCCATTTTCACATGGGTTTGGTTCACAGTCATCCATGTCAAGCTCACAAAACTGTCCAGTAAATCCTGGAGAGCACACACAAGACGCGTAAGGTGCAAACCCATCATCGTCCAAACAACTTCCTCCATTTTGACAAGGTGAGCTGCAGTTCAAAAGAAGAGGAAAAAGAAATAGATGAACAAAAGGTGATGACTTATAACAGGGGTCCCCAACAGCCGGGCTGCAGCTCACTTGTTCAGAACTGGACCACGCAAGTGGTAGGTGAGTGTAAGCATGCGTGCAGAGCTCCGCTTGTGGGCCACCACTTGTGCAAATGGAGCTGTGCGTATGCATGCCTAGAGCTCACACTGAACCATCCCCTCTTCCACCCACCAGGCTGCCAAGTCAGAAAGGTTGGGGACCGTTGATTTATAATTCACGTCAATAACAGTTCTGTTTCCTTACATTTCTCCCCTCCTTTTTTTTTTTTTTCTTTAAAAGAACTCATATGCATAAAATGAAATGTTTTAAGTTTGGGGCAAAACACCACCACTAGAAGTGTTTTACTAGAACATTTCAAACTCAATCCATTTGAATTGTTCTGAGTGTTAGACTACAGACAACATAGCAAACTCAAAGTAAGATGTAGGTCCTAGATGAATCTAGGTCCACAAAGGCCACTGTTTCACTGTTGTGAAAAGGGGTTGACATTTAACTGCCTGGGATCACTGGCAACTCTTTGGAAAAGCTGCAATTTGCTTTGGAAAGGCTTCATCCATATCTTCTTCCTGGTTGGGCGTAGACAATAGAGTAGACAATGGTTTATTGCTTTTATTTATTCATTTACTTTAACCCAGATGTATTCTATAGCAGGGGTCACCAACCTTTTGGACCTCCAAACTCATAATTTTAAATCCTGCGGACCACTAATATGAATTTTGACTGACAGTGGCTTGCAGAAAGCAGCAGACACCCTGGGAAAATCCCCCAAAAATTCTGCAGGAAAATTCCCCACCCCGTTTTCCTACCAATCGATCATTCTTTATTTTGGATTGCAGGATACAGTCTCCAGCTCTGTATTTTCGGGGGAGGGGGGAGAGAGTGACTTTTGGCTTCATGCAAGTTCCCCCCTGCCCTTTCACCCCTCCCCTCACTACCTCGTGTTGTTTGCAACGCAAGCCTTGTGTTCCTGTGGGCGGTGCAGCCTTGTGTTCCCGTGCAGCCTGGATTAATTGCTTTGGGGGGTGCTTTGGGGTGACATTTCTCTGCGGACCACCAAAATTTTCTTGCGGACCATCAGTGCTCCCTGGCCCACTGATTGGTGACCACTGTTCTATAGTATTGCAAAGTCCATTCATTCTGAACAAATCTTTTTTAAATACAGTAGTTCTCTTCTTCCTTTTCTCTGCTTTTGTTCCTTTTTGAAGAAATTGTATCCTTCAGTTGCTGCATTCCAAGAGAATCATCATACCATATATCTGCCATATTTATTAAATTATTTTATACCAAGAGCTCAGACTCATCTTATTTCCCATGGTCTTAATATTAGTTTATAACTAATGAAAGTCATAAATTTTCTGAGCCAATATTCTGATTTTTTTTTGGTGTGCTTTCAGAATCTCATTTCAACAACTTCTACAGTGCACAAGTCTTTATGAGGTCTTATTGCATTTTCACCACTCATTGGTTTGTATTTAAAGTCTTCCTGATCAACATATTTTTATTAGGTCCTGCAAGATACATCCCATCTTGTGCCAGAAACCTATCTACAAAATTCAGACCATGATTCTGGAAACCAAATCTCTTCCTTTGAAAGCAAGTCAGATATTAAGTCTCTGATACTTGTACTTAAATACCACAAAAACCTAGGAAATGATCCATTGATGGGTTTCCAAATTTTTTCCTACCGGTTCTGTGTGTGTGCACGTGACATATTAATTTGTTTTACTGCTCGAGGACAAACACATTTGTAGCAAAACAGTCTCCTTTTAATGGCAAAAAGGCCAAATCTCCTTCTTCAGATTTTTGCTTTTTTATCTGTTAGCCAAAAGTGAGTAGGGCTGATGAGTAGCACACCAAAAACAAATGAATATATCAAACTTATCTAAATAATGAATTTGCTTTCCCATTTACAAGTTACATTCTTTCCCCAGTTTCCATTTTACAAGGGCAGAGAGCAGGCACAGAAATAAAAAGACAGACATTGAGGGGCTGTGATCTTGAGAATTCCTTTCAACAATTTTCACTGAGAATTCCTGCAGCTGCCACCTGGAAATTGTCAAACTGAAGAAGATTGTATTAGTTACCAAAGTCAAGTGTAAATCAACAAACATGATCCATATTTACCCATTAACAATACAGGGTCCCCTTTTCATGTGACAGTTTTTTCCCATATAGCCTTGAGCGCACAAGCAAGTGTATCCACCATTTCCAGTCTCAACGCAATTCTTTGAGTAATTTGAACAAGGCTTGGAAGAACAAGGATGAACAACTGTGTTAAAACAGAAAAAAAGAGAAACATACTTTTCTTATGATCATGATGATCTTTCTCTAACAATAACTAATGTTTGCCTATTTACATGAAAGGAAAATATACAAAATCAGAAATATTCTGTTTTATCCCATTAAAACAGCTCTTTAGAATCTGAACTAAATATCTTATTTATATGTTGTGATTTCTGTGGCGCTCCAATAATAAGACTGGGTAGTTTGTATACATAAAACAATAAAACACCAGAATATTAAAATCATTAAAAGATTTCCTGGTTCCTTGGAGCAAGCAATCATGAAAATCCCTAGTATCCAAACACCAAAAACTTTATAATAATCAACACTTTGAATTGTACTTGGAAACTTACAGCTACCCAGTTGGAGTGACCAAAATTATTTTGCTGAATCAGCTTTTGGCCTATCCCAATTATCGTTCCTCCAAATAGCCTTCAAAGGCAATGTAAGATGCTGATACTTCAGCCACAAGAGAATGAGGGCACACCTGCCAAAATTGGACACAATCTCTCCTGGATACAACTTCCAGGAGGATCTGTGTATACAAAAGGATCCCTAGACAGAGATCTGGGGGAGTGGGAGAAGGGCAAGTGACAAAATGTGTGTCACAATTTGAATTACTTCCCTTGCACATTTTCATGCAATACTCCAGAACAAATCTGGAAAAGTAAAGCCTACATCATAACAACACAATGCACAAAACACAGGAATTGATCCTTTTGTTCCTAGATCATGGCCCTGCTCTTTTAAAGATAGCACAGATACCCACAGCCAAAGTTGCAGCCATATGGTTCTAGAGTGAACAGCCATTCCCCCTTGCTGTGTGAACTGGTCTGACAGCTTGGCCACTAAATCTCCTGCTTGGCAGAGGACAGAGATGTATAACTGGGAATTGTTAGCCTACTGATGATTTCTGATTCTGAACTGATATATGACCTCTTCTAATGCTAGATAAGATAAGGTAGAGGACCAATCCCTGGATTTTTATATTGTACTGGCCAAGATCTTGATTTCTCTTTTCCATCACTACTGATTTGAACTGCTTCATTAGGAAGGAATGTAATCTCTAATAAAATATTATTTCTGGGTTCCAGCCCTCACATACATTCCCAAAAAACATGACTGATGTTCTTTAATCTAGAGCCTATTGGAGATCATAAGTACTATAAAAGAAGTTTTTGCCCCATGCTAAACCCTGAAATGAGTGACAAGGATTCAAATAAACCACTTCTTCCTAGAACCACTGCAACTGGGACCTAATCATGTTTTGAAGATGGAGGATAATAAGTTGAGCTATACAGTTAGGGGGCCACTTCAGAGGAGGGTGTGTTACCTTCTCCTTCAAAATGCCTGACACTACCTTCCCCTTCATAGAGGCATTCCTAATCCAGCTTCTTAGCCCCTTCTTTGGCAGGTCAAACAAGCTAGGAAGGGCAGAGATCCAGCCCATAAGTATCAAAGCTTACATAACAGGAGACTGTATTTATTAGTATCCATAAAATAAAATGAATTGGAGATGATCTTGCAGATGTTCTTCCAGTCACTTGATCAAGCCTTCAGCAAGTATGAGCAATTTTATCTTTGACTCTTTCTAAACTAAATTTAGCAAGAATTGAAGCCAGGTGTTTTTACAGCAACTCTGCGAAGAAAACAACCAAGTTCAGAAAGCACTAAGGATCTACCATTCCATCTCCTTTTTATTATTATAGTGCCATTGTGTGTGTGTATTTTAAATGGGTATGTTTTATATGGTATCTTTTTCTATATTAACCAAGGTTTGTTGCTGCATAGCAATATGTTAAATAAATAAATAGGATATCTCCAACACCAGATGGAGCTCCAACTGTTTTCATTAGGATGTTCATTTAACAGAAAAGGAAATTATCCCCAAACCTGTGTCACAGCGGCTACCAATCCATCCTTCTTCACACATGCACTGGCCTGGCTTCACACATGTCCCATGCAAACAGCCAGGGAAAGGAACACACCGATCACAGAGAGGGCCTTGCCAACCAGGTCGACATCTAGCAAAATCACAATATGAGAAAGCAAATTAAATAAGATCTTTTGGCAAATATAATTAAGAAGCTAGATACTGTAGATAAAATAATGGTAATAAGATTCCTTATTCTGATTGTTATGGAAATAAAATTCCTTATTCTGATTAAAAGCAACTACAGAATACTGGCGTGGTTTTCTTAGCAAAAGTTCCATGATAATCACCTCATTAACACACTTTTCATCACATAGACAATCCATACTGCATGGCCATGTGCAGTCTCAGTGCTTTTTTGCATCTCCCACAGTTACCCAAGATTTTGATGTTGAAATCTGCTGGCAAGTAGCAGCTTTATGATTTTCCATTTTCTTTTAAAAATAAACACTAAAATAAAGTCCAATGCTCTGAACACACATATTTTAGTTAAAGTTTTCCAATAAATGAAGGGCAGGGGGAGATTTGTCAGTGAACTGATTATTGTCACTGTATCCTGGGCATTATTTCAGTATGTATTTATAAATGCATCAAATATAGATGATGCTAACTAACACCACCAATGGCAGAATACATGAATTATGTATAATCACATTAATGAGTCATGTATTAGCATATTACCGCCACTATCATAACATCAATTATTATATAATACTACAATATAACAGCTAGTAGTTTTATGCCATTTATTTGTACGAATGGACATGTATGAAAAATCGAGTGTGGGAAATTTACTCATAGCAGGATAAAAAAGCAGAAATGTAACTCAGGAAAATGTCAACTTAATGCAGCATGTTATAAATTCATATCAGATTGAAGAATTTAAAGAAGACACCACAAACTAAGTTTCCAGAGAAATAGATAACTCTTAAAAGAACTGAATGAGGCTAAGTCACTAAGTTAGAAAAGTGTCATCAAGAGTGAGAAAAGAACTGAAATATTTGATTGTAAATGTTTTAACAGCAGCTAGAATTGTATTTGCGAAGAACTGGAAAAATGACAAAATACCTATGCAGGAGGAAGTTATCAAAAAAATTATGGACTGTGCTGAAATGAGTAAACTGACATTTGAAATTAGAGAACAAGAAGATAAGCAATTTTATATGATATGGGATTTGTTTTATCAATGGTTGGATAAAAAGGCATGGTAATATAATAGACTAGATAATTTTGTGATAGAAATCTAATAGATTGATATAAAACATAATATAGATATATATAACCACTGGTTGAAAGTATAACATAAATTTTAAGATAAAACTTGGAACATCTCATATAAAACGATGGAATAAATGGTTTAGTCATAGATGATTAATAACTGATAAATATATAAACATATGTTAGTTTGACAATGTGAAGACTGATATAAATTGTGAGTAAATGACTACAAAAGTATAGCACAAAAGATACGTAACCAACTGACACACTGTGTGTATATAAAATGGAAGAGGATTGTATGTTTTCATGTTTTTGTGTGTGTATGTTTGTGTTTAAAAATAAAAAACTTTATTAAAAAAAAAAGAGTGAGAAAAGGGCCAAGAAAGATTACCCAAGTGTTTAATGACTGATCCATTAAAATTTTGCTTTATAAAACCTTAGTAAGACCTCACCTGGAATACTGCATCCAGTTTTGGTCACCACATTACAAAAAAGATGTTGAGACTTTGGAAGTGCAGAGAAGAGCAACTAGAATGATGAAAGGCCTGGAGCCTAAAACATATAAAGAAGGATTGCAGGAACTGGGTATGGCTGGTCTAGAGAAAAGGATTGAGATGACACGATAGCAGTATTCCAGTATTTGAGGGGCTGCCACAGAGAAGAGGCGGTCAACTTGTTTCCCAAAGCACCAGATGGAAAGACAAGAAACAATGGATGGAAACTAATCAAGAAGAGAAACAACCTGGAATTCAAGAGAAACTTCCTAACAGTGAGAACAATTTGCTTGCCTCCAGAAATTGTGAGTGCTTCATCACTAGTTTTTAAGAAGATACTGAACTGCCACTTGTCTAAAATGGTATAGATCTCCTGCTTGAGCAAGGGGTTGGACCGGAAAACCTCCAAGATCCCTTCCAACTCTATTCTGAATTGAAAATTGGTCAAGCCTAGTTAGAAACTATGAAAATGCATATGAATCATATTTTTCAGAAGCCATCAAACTCATCGTATGTCTATGTAGTGTCCTGTCTTGATTCTTTTGGATCTCAAATATGGACTGCCTAGGAAGACTTGAGTTGAAAAGATATGCATTGATGTGTGAGTGAATGGAGCTTTTAAGTCTAATAGTGAATAAGAAAAACTAAATCAGTTTTTTTCCCCTATATATTTATTATTGTTGAGCAGACTTCCCTTTCCTTTACATCATAATGCATCCAAGAGGCCTCTCATTCTTCTGGAGCAAATTTCAGAGGAAATCTTTGATCTGCCCATTCTTTTTTGTTCTGCTGGTTTGAAAAACCTTTTTTCCCCCCTTGAATGGCTGTTGTATATTGTTGTTCTTTAAAATGATTGCTAAGAGTTTAAGTCAAGTATGAAGAATACTCTGATTAAAATATTTGGTACGGAATTGCATTTTACATAAATGATTCTTTAAAAAACCATAAAGTATCAATAGTGCTTAATTAAATAATATGTGTCCCTTGTTTTTTTTCCTCTGGCAAACGTGCCGTCAATTAACTTACCTGCATTCACTAGAAACTTCACAAAATCCATTCACTGGATGACAACCGGGTTGGCAATCAGCTCCTAAAAAAGGGAATTGCTATATAACATTTCAGAAATTCTTGCAAACATGTTTGCAATGACTTTAGAATAGTAAACTTATCAACACAATAGTATGATTTCATTTTGGATATCCCTAAAATTTGGCACCGCAGGACAGTGCCTATTCAGCCTTAGCAATACAATGTTTCACTGAAAAATGTAGACATAATTTAAAAACCTGTAGTTACTTTGTATTTTTATATTCTCCCTTTTTGACATTTGGACTGTGAATACGCTTTCTTGTGGAGCCAGATCAACAATTACAGTACAACTGTTGGGAGAAGCAATTAGGGGCAAGAGGAAATGATATTGAATGGCATAAATTCTGACCAATTGCACTTCATACTGCTAGAGTCTGTCTTCCTATTAGAATTTTACAATAGAATATAAACTTTTCAGCCATGAACATGAATCTGCCATTTAAAGTCATACTAAATAATCCTTGTGGGATGAATCTCAGCTCACTTCACACCTGAATTCTGGTTTATATGCTTTCAGTTGAAAGTACAATATGGAAATAAAACACTGTGTTTCAGGTGCTTGCATTTGTTCAGTAAGAAAAGATCAAAGAAAAGGCACTACTAACTCCAAAATGATTTGACTTTTGGTTTAAGCCACAACACCAATATTAAATAAACCCAACATTCCTCAGTTTGATATTAAATAATTGAGAAAAGCAAAAAAATAAGCATAGGAATTAGAAGTTCATTATATTGCCACAACGATAGAATATAACTCCTACAACAATTTAGTTCTCCCAGAACAGGGTGAAAAAGGCAATCCTGCACACGTATCTCTGTGAATGGCCTTCAATGAATTTCAGAGAATAACCTTAATTGATCTTGAACTGTATTGCAATCAATAGGACTTCTAAAAAAATTATACAAGATGTAGCTGTTTGATATTGCCACAGCATATCTAGTTAAAACTAGAACATCAACTAACATTATTAGCACATAGAACATATAATTGATTCAAAGGACGAGACCTTTAAAGGCCTAGGATAACTTATGATCTGACATGATAAACTGGGTGCCATGACTGCAGAGTTCTATGATTTTACCTGACATTCACATGTGATTTTGTGCAAGATCTATAACAGAATTGAACATGCTCTCTTTTTTGTCAAATTTTGTAAAAAATAAATAAATAAATCTACAAATCAGAATGTACATAACCGTGTTTCTCATATAATAAGGCCGGGTTTTTTGTTTTTTTTTGAGCCCCGAAAAAATGGCTAGGCCGTCTTTTCGGGGGTGACTTAATTCTCCCCCCCCCCTGCATCTTCGGGCGGGCAGGTGGCGATGGCTTGGATGTTGACCTCAGCGTTGGTGGGGCACTTCGTATCTAGGTCAATGCAGGTAGCACCATATCCGGGTGTGCAACAAAAGTACTTCCTAATGGCAAGCTCCCCCCCCATTCCCCCCCCCCATTTCGCATGTTTTAATATAGGCCTTAATTTGAGGGGAGGGGCTTAATTTCATTTCATGCCTATAAAACATGCTGGGACATATTGGGGGAGGCCGTATTTGTTGGAGAAACAGGGTAGGTTGCAATGCTATTGATAGCTTTAATTGATTTGGAATCTGGCTGGGTCAAGGAGCATATAAATTGCAATAAATAAATGATAATTGTGGTAGGTAGTCCATAAAACTTAAATTCTCATTGAATTCATAGATCATGCTTAAGCAAGCTAGATTTAATGTGCAAGGTTTCAGTCTATCAGATGTGCACATATATGTTTCACACAACATGATTCAAAGAAAAATCACATTTGGCGGTTTCATATTTATCAATTTCTCACTGATGATGTCCATTATATGAGATGAAAAATACAAATGATTGAAACTCAGATACATTGGAAAAAAACACAAGCAAGTGTACTTCAGTGTAAGAAAAGATAAGGGCATTTCTGGTTCTAAGTTAAAATGAAAATAAATGTCACAGAAAGTTTGTCATATCTTTGCAGCTGGGACTCATTGCATTAATTAACGGATCTGAACACATTAAATTCCTAACTCCTTTTCAGTTCCTAAAAAGGGTTGAAAAATTAAAAAAAAGTCTATCTAAAACAAGCTTATTATTGATGTCTAAAACTGTTACCCTATAATAAAGGAAATAAACAGTTTAAAATAGCTTTCTCTCCTTCTCCCTCCCTCCCTCTCTCCCTCCCTCCCTCTCTCCTATCTATCTATCTATCTATCTATCTATCTATCTATCTATCTATCTA